TAAAATCTTAAGTTAAAAGATCAATGGAATTTAATTAATTGATATTTATATGTTTTATTCACTTGTATATAGAACATCAACAAGTCTTTGTGACGTTAAAACATTGCCACCAACAACTGCTGCTTTATCAGAAGGATTTAAAAATGATTTCTCCGGTATTCTTATATCTATTGGAGCTAAACAACCTTGATTCAACGGTATGTCGTCGGCGATGAGTGACCTTAGACAATAAATTATTGCACTGAATGTAACCTATTTTTATAATAATAATAATTAATTTTAAATCGATTTGTTCATCTGTTCACACACACACACACACACACATATATATATTTGGTATATAACTTACTGATGGTGGTGCATTAGTATTTCCTAAATAAATAATAAATATAATAAAGTAAATTTATAAATAATCAGGCTACATAAAAAGTTGCCTCTCCAAAAAAAAAATTTTTTCTTACCATAAACTTCAGGTCCAGTACCATTAAAATCAAACACTGCAGAACCTTCTTTATCATCAATTGTAATTTCTAATTTTATCGGTGACCCATCATCCATATGATCAGTAGCTTTTAAAGTATTCCTTCCGAATCGCTTACTAACATCTCTTAATAACCATCTAACTGACAATTCTGCATTTTTTCTAATGTGCATCATATACGCTTGTACAACATCCAGTCCATACTCTTGTATTAATAATTTTACCAATGTGATTCCTTTATGATTGGCGGCAACTTGAGCTTTTAAATCTGATTCATTGTCACGGAAACATCTGGTACCGCTACACCCAGGATATTTTGCTGGCTCGACTGATAAAATATTGGTGAGACCTTCTAAATCAAATTTTCCTTTTGAAATAAGCTTGAAAGATTTTACAGCTGCTCCTTCTTGATACAATTCATTGGAATTTGGTGGCATAGAACCTAAACACGCATATATAAGAACAAACTTATTATTTTTGTGAGGAAATGACAAATATTTTTTTAAAAAAGAAACTTACCTGGTAAACTACCTCCAATATCTGCATGATGACCTCTTGATGCAACAAAAAAAACTATTTTGCCTTCATTAAAAACTGGTGTAATAACAGTGATATCTATTAAATAAATAAATATATGTATAGTTGTTATTATTACTGTTATTCATTATTCATTATATCGTGAAAAATATTATTTACCTGGTAAATGTGAACCACCGGCTTGAGGATGATTAGTAAGAATAACATCTCCATCCTCCAATTGGCCTTTATAGAATTCCATTTGATACTTTACTGCATGACTCAAACTACCCAAATGTACCGGAATATGTGGGGCTATAAAATTTAAATTTTTAAATAAATTAAATCTTAAATTTGATTATAATATAAAAAATATTTTAAATAACAAATTGTTTACCATTAGCAACTAGGCCACCATCTGGACCAAAAAGTGCACATGAAAAATCCAATCTTTCTTTGATATTTGTGGAAATAGCAGTTTTTTGTAAAGTATTGCCCATTTGTTCAGCAATGCTCATAAACCTATGACCAAATATAGACAATTGTATAGGATCCGATTCGGTCGTGACTTGACTTCTGACACCATCACCAACCATTATCATTATGTGGGTTGATGTGATATGAGCATTACAACTTGGGGTAACAAGGATCGTAGAATTTGCATCAATGATCATTGCAGGGCCTTGTATATAATTTCCAACGATAAGATTATCCAACAAATACACTGGAGTTTCCAATCTGCCATGTTCTTCAAAATACATCGGGTATGTTTTATGACTAGATTCTAATGGTATCCTCTTTAACGATTTGATTTCTTCGTAAACACTATTGTTTGTCAACTGTTGACTTTTCCCAATTCCACGAATCCTAATATCATCCACACAAATATCTCTATCGGATAAATTAAACCCGAATTCTTGTTTGTATTGTTCAACAAACGTGTCAATAAAATTCCAAGAATCTTTTGGTTTCAAGGTCATCAGAGCAAAATCTGTTCCTTGATATCTTAAGTTAAGATAAATCTCATAATGGATAGTTGATTCGTCTGTTATCTGGTATTGTGATGAAAGTACGTTGGCACAATCATTAACTAAAACTTTTACTCTTTCTTGTATATGGGGTAATGTTTTCTCGGAATAAATCAGGGAGCTTGGCTCTTGAACTTCATGAACAACATCAGCCAATGCTAAACCGTATGCCGACAACACTGAACTGT